TTATATATATATATATACACTTTGTGTATAAAAAGGAGACACAATAAATACAAAAAGAAGACAGTATTAAAAAGAGACAGCAGCAGCAGCAGCAGCAACAGCAACAGCAGCAGCAGCAGCAGAATATTCTTGGATTGTGTGTCTCCTTTTGTGTTGTGCTGCCTGTGCTGCTGCTGCAGCTGCCCCATGCAGCGGCAACAGCAGCAGCAAATGCATGCGCTGCTGGGTTGCTGCTGCTCCCCTATACTGCAGCAAATGCAGCAAATATTACTGCTGCAAGTGTGCTGCTGCAGTGCATGCAGCAGCAGGAAAGGAGACACATGTTATAGAGACAGCAGCAAGAGCATATAAGGTCAATGTACACCGCAGCAATTTGCTGCTGCAGCAGCAGCGCAGCAGCAACTTTGATCTTAATACTACGGATACACAAGGAAGGTTAGAAACCCTAAACCCTAAACCCTAAACCCTAAATATAAATATACGTATCTATAGAAGGCAGCAAACCCTAAACACTAAACCCTAAACCCTATGAATGAAGGTAGACAACCATCAATAAACAACCAACTAGGGTTTAGGGTTTAGGGTTTAGGGTTTAGGGTTTGTGTGCATGCAGAGGCTTGCAGTGTCCTCACCACCCAACTGAACCCGCGCGCTATGCCTGTCTAGATTGCAAGTAAGATCTAGGGTTTAGGGTTTAGGGTTTAGGGTTTGCAGGTAGAGTTGCATGATGTTAGGTGTCTCCTTTTTTTTTATTTTTTTTTTTTTCTCTTAGCAACAATTTGTGTCTCCTTTTGTCTCCTTTTTGTCTCCTTTTATCTCCCTTCTTCCCTAATTGTCTCCTTTTTTTTGTCTCCTTTTTTTTTGTCTCCTTTTTTTTTGTCTCCTTTTTTTTCTTAATAGAGGGACAGTATTATGTGGTCAATGTTATGGCGAGGGTTTACATAACACTCATGATCTTGTTAATATAAGAAGTGCTGTACCTGCAGCAAGAATGAAGGTACAAAACCCTAAACCCTAAACCCTAAACCCTAAACCCTAATTGCTAAACCCTAAACCCTAATTGCTAAACCCTAAACCCTAAAAGGATAATACTATAAAGTCTAGAATCATCAAACAATAAACCCTAAAAAATCATATTTCTTGCTGCAGCGTAGAGTTGTTGTTGTTGCTGCTGCTGCTGCTGCAAACCGTAGGGTTTGCATGCTGCATACTGTAAACCCTAATATATAGAAACCCTAGGGTTTAGGGTTTAGGGTTTAGGGTTTATGATTTTTTTGTTTGCTGCAGATGATGCAACAATACTCTAAACTTAAGCAGCAAGCAAAAGAATTAGAGGCTCTCTCCGCTTCCTTAAAAAGTATTCAGGTGCTGCTGCTGCTGCTGCTGCTGCTGCTGCTGCACCCATTGCTGCTGCTGTTGGTTTCCTTTTGTTCCTGTTGCTGCTTCGGCTACAGGCTCCTTGCTTGCTGCTACCGCTGTTGTGTTTGTCCCGTTGCTGCTGTTGCTGCATTTGCTCTGCTGCTGCCGTTGCTGTTGCTGTTGCTGTTGTTGCTGCTGCTGCTGCTGCAATTGTTATATTGTGTGTGCTGTCTATACACCTCAGAGGAAAGCGATTCGTCTGCAAACAGCAAACGCAACACACATCAAGGATGCATTCGATGTATGCATGCACTTGCTGCTGCTGCTGCTGCTGCTGCTGTTGCTGCTGTTGTTGCTGCTGCTGTTGATGTTGTTGTTGTTAGTGGTGGTGGTGCTGCTGCTGCCCGGGTTGCTGTTTGTGCTCTTGTTGCTGCTGTTGTTGGAGTTGCTTGCTGCCGTTGATCCTGCGGTTGCTGCTGCTGGTCCTATGGTTTGTTGCTGTGTTTGCTGCTGCTGCTGCATATTTTGCTGCATTTGCTGCATTTGTTGCTTCTGCTGCTGCTGCTGCTGCTGCTGCTGCTGCTGCTGCAGTCCGTGGTGAGGGCATTGGAGATGCGTTGCGAAGCAGCAGATAGAGAGATGGATTTAGAGAAAACCCTCAGCGCACAAACCCTCAAGTAAACCCTAAACCCTAAACCCTAAACCCTAAACCCTCGCATACATCGTAAACCCTCACGTAAACCCTAAATCCTCAAAACACTCGCGTAGACCCTAAATCCTTAGAACCCTCATGTAAACCCTAAACCCTCAAAACCCTCATGTAAACCCTAAACCCTCAAAACCCTCAGATAAACCCTAAACCCTCAACTAAACCCTAAACCGTTATTTAGTGTTTATATTTATGTATGTACCTGCCTGTACACCGCAGGACAATAGACAAAGATTGCGTAACTTTATTGCGTTATTTACGAGCAAAACAGCAGCAACTGCAGCAACTGCAGCAATTAGGGCAGCAAAGTCCTGTATTAGCATTAAATGCATTTGCTGCTGTTGTCTCCTCCTTTGATGCATTAGAGGAAAAAACTGATGTACTTACAGGTACGTCTCCTGCTGCTGCTGCTGCTGTTGTTGCTGCTGCTGCTGCTGTTGTTGTTGTTGTTGCTGTTGCTGCTGCTGCCGCTGGTGTCTCCTTTTGCTGCTGCTGCAGCTGGTACTGTCTCCTTTTGATGATTCTTGTGAGTGTCTCCTCTCTATATATCTGATCTATCTGATGTCTCCTTTTGATTTTGCTGCTGCTGCTGCTGCTGCTTGTGCTGCTGCTGTTGCTGCTGCTGCTGCTGCTGTTGCTGCTGCTGCTCAGATATGCGTGAGAGGTTACGTTATCCTCATTGGCAGTTACGTGTCTTAGAGGTTAATTCTTTATTAGAAGAAAGACAAGAAGTAAGTATATCTATATAGGTGTCTCCTTTTTATTGTCTCCTTTTTATTGTCTCCTTTTTATTGTCTCCTTCTTATTGTCTCCTTTTTATTGTCTCCTTTTTATTGTCTCCTTTTTTATCTGCAGCATACATAATCTGTATGTGCATCATAATTGGAGTTATATATAATACATATACGTATACGTAAACGTATACGTATATATGTATATGTATATACGTATACGCATATATGTATATGTATATGTATATGTATATGTATATGTATATGTATATGTATATGTATATGTATATGTATATATGTATATATGTATATATGTATATATGTATATATGTATATATGTATATATGTATATATGTATACATATATATGTATATGTATATATGTATATGTATATGTATATGTAGGCATTATTACGTGTATCTAGCCGTCTGAGTACATTTTGCGAGGAGACAGGAGAAGCAGCGGAGACATTTTTGTCTCTTTCTTTACCCCTAGATAATTCTCCTGCACAGCATAGGGAGACAGATAAACAGCAGCAACTGCTGCAGCAGCATCTGCAGCAGCAGCAACAGCAGCAGCAGCAGCAGCAGCAACAGGAGGAGACAGAGACTAGATTTATACTCTCCCCTGATCAACAAACTGCTGTTTATCCAGGCGCAGAAAACCCTTACAGCAAAATCTTCCTTAGTAAACGTAAGACAAGGGTTTAGGGTTTAGGGTTTAGGGTTTAGGGTTTAGGGTTTAGCGTTTATGTGTAGATTAATATTTATCTATAATTCAATTCCCTAGGGTTTAGGGTTTAGGGTTTAGGGTTTGCGTCTTGTGTGTGTGTGCAGCTCCTGATAAGTACCAGGCCTTTGTAAGAAAGTAAGGGACAGCATTAAATTACAAACCCTAAACCCTAAACCCTAATCTGCAAACCCTAAAGAGCGGCTTGTAGTAGCAGCGTATTGTCCTTAGGAATGTTGAGAGCTAGGGTTTAGGGTTTAGGGTTTAGGGTTTGGAATGCCATTAGGGTTTATATTATATACTACGAGTATATGGTATCTCTGTGTATCTCTCTGCACACTGTTTCTGCTGCTGCTGTTGCTGCTGCTTCTGCTGCTGTTGCTGCTGCTGCTGCTGCTGCTGCTGCTGCTGCTGTGTATATAGGGATCAATTACATGAGGAATGGGAAGTACGGATGGTGTCTCTTCGTGGTGAATATTTATGTGTACATAAAGAAGGAGACAGTCCCTTTAGTCGTATAGAGGGGGCAATAAGAATAAATAAGGAGACGCATGCATGCAGTTTTAGCAGCAGCAGCAGCAGGACAGCATTAGCAGCAGCAGCAACAAATGATTATCCTTATGGATTAGAGGTTATACAAATAGATATAAATAAAAAAGAACTAACTAGCTTCTTGCTTCTTGCTGCAGATAATAATTCCTTAGCTAATGAATGGGTAGAGGCAATACAGCAGCAGCAGCAGCTAGCTATAAAAAGGAGACACCAACAATTGTCTCCTTTTCTTATTGTCCCTTCTTATAGTCCCCAACTGTCTCCTAGGGAGTTGCATCTAGAGGCAGCAGGGATGGCGTTCCCCGTTCCCCACAGACGTACAGCAGCAATGCTGCCTACAGGTCTAGAGGAGGAGGAGGAGCAGCAGCAGCAGGAGTTGCTGCAGCAGCAGCAGCAAAGAGGGAGGAGGTCCTCTGTCTCCTCATTAAGCAGCAGCAGAGACAGCTCATTAGATACAATTAGTGTCTCTAAAAGGAGACACAAAAAGGAGACAAGTGTCTCCTCTTATTATAGTGATACAGAATTATCTAGCTCAGACGAAGCAGCAGCAGCAGCAGCAGCAGCAGCAGCAGATGAGGTAATTGAAGGTCTTGCTGCTCCTCCTTTTCCTTCCTTAAGGAGAGAGGAGACAGATATAAATAAAGAACAAAAATTAGGGGAATTATATAATAGGAGGAGACGGAGGGCAACAGAGGGGACAGCAAAGGGGACAATTAAACAAAAAAGAGACACACAGGATGGTGGCACCAGCAGCAGCAGCAGCAGCAGGAACAGCAGCAACAATAATACAGGTATACGTAGACCTAAACTACGGCCAACACACAAATCAACAAGAGCAGCAGCAGATGCAGATGCACCCGATGCAGCAGCAGCAGCAGCAGCAGCAGCAGCAAGTGATGCAAGTATGCCTCTCAAGACATTAAGGACGGGCATACAAAGGAGGGCAGTAAGGAGACTCGTAAGAGAGTTAGAGGCGAGGGCGTCTCCTGTGTCTCCTCCTACTCCTCCTCAGCAGCAGCAGCAGCTGCAGCAGCAGCAGCAACAGCAGCAACAGCAGCTGCCGCAGCAACAGAATCAGCAGCAACGACAACAGCAGCAACAGAGACAGCAGCCGGGACAAAAAGAACAATATTTGCAGCAGCAGCATGACCAACTGAAGAAGCTGCTGCAGGAGCATCAGCAGCAGCAACAACTGCAGCAGCAGCAACAGCAGCAACTGCAGCAGCAGCAGCAGCAAATGAAGAGGCTGCTCCAGGAGCAGCAGCAGCACAACAGAAGTGTCCCCGATAGCGAAATTGTCTCCTTGCCGGAGACAGACACGCTAGACTTTGCCTTTACACCTGAAGAGCAGCAGCAGCAGCAGCAGCAGCAGCAGCAAAGCAGCAGCAGCAGCAAAACAACAGATGAGAACCACAACAGCACCAACAGCAGCAGCAGCAGCAGCAGCGGGAGACACTTCAAGAGTGACCCTTTGCTAGGAGACCCACCACCAACAGAGAAGCCAAGGAAACACCCTAAGGCAGCAGCAGCAGCAGCAGCAGCAGCGCCCACACCAAGGCGTCCTGCTGCTCCTGTTGTTGCTGCTGCTGCTCCAACAGATGCTGCTGCTCCAACAGATGCTGCTGCTGCTACTCCAGCAACAGCAACACGACTAGCTGCAGAAGCAGCAGCAGCACGAGCGGCAGCAGCAGCAGCACGAGCCGCAGCAGCACGCGCAGCAGCAACACGAGCAGCAGCAGCAGCAGCAGCAGACTCTGGTGGGTCGGAGCCAAAGAGACAGCAAGCAGCTGTCCCCTTGTCAACACCTAAGGACTCTCAGTAAGACATTTAAATAGCTAGCTAGCTAGCTAGCTAGCTAGCTAATTTATTAACTAGCTGGCTAGCTAGCTGGCTAACTAACTAACTAACAGATTAACAGACTAAGTAACCATCAAGCTAGCTAGCTAGCCATATAGATAGCTTACTATGTAGCTAGCTAGCTAGCTAGCTAACTGGGCAGGGGAGAAAGTTGGTAAGGAGCTGTGTTAGCAATGGGGATAAAGGCGTCTGTGCTGCTGTTGCTGCTAAAAGGCAAGATTTGCTGCTGCTGCTGCTGTTGCTGTTGTTGTTGCTGCTGCTGCTGCAGGAGGAAGAATATGCGTGAGCAAGAGGAAGTAGCTGAGGTGTCTAGGCAGCAGAAGTTGCTGCATCGTCGTTCTTATATAGAAGATTTAGTGTCTCCTTTGTCTCCTTTAGGAGAAAGGAGACAAAAAAAGGAGACAAAAAAGGAGACAAAAAAGGAGACAAAAAAGGAGACAGATAAGGAGACACCTGATGATTTTTATAGGATAAAAATGCCTCCTGCATCTTCTGTACCTTCCTTTACTCTTGTCTCCTCTCCTCCTGTTCGTGCTGCTCCTGCTGCACCTACTCCACCTGCTGCTGCTGCTGCAGCAGCAGCAGCAGGAGGTGCTGCTGCTGCTGAGAAGCCACGATCTAAGAGACAGGGGACAAAAGTGTCTCCTCTAAAAAAGGAGACACTTCCTGCTGCAGCACTACCAAAGGCAATAGCAGCAGCAGCAGCAACACAGAGGGTACGCATAACCTTATGTGTAGCTAGCTAGCTAGCTAGCCAGCCAGCTGGCCAACTAAATCGGTAGTTAGCTAGCTAGCCAGCTAGATAGCTAGCTATGGTGCGGCCAAGGGCATCAGTCGTTATCTTTGTGCTGTTCCTTCTGCTTCTGCTGCTGCTGCTGCTGCTGCTGCTGTAGGGCATATTGCGTAAGACGGGTTCTGCTGTAGGAGGAGACAGGAGTACAAAGGAGACACAAGGAGGAGACGCAAGCGAAGAAGAATTAGCAGCAGCAAGTGCAGCAGCAGCAGCAGCAGGAGCAGCAGAAGTAAGGAAGAGAGAATTAGAAATAGTAAGCAAAGCAATGCAGCAAATAGGTATGCTGCGTATAAGCAGCAGCATTATTTCTCCTATTGAGCCTGACGACAGCAGCAGCAGCAGCAACAGCAACAGCAACAGCAACAGCAGCAGCAGCAGCAACAGCAACAGCAACAGCAGCAGCAGCAGCAGCAGGGCAAAAGAAGAGGCAGCAAGAGGCAGCAAGGGAAGAGAGATAAAAAAGGAGACAATAGGAGACAAACAACAAAGAAAGAGATAAACGAACAAAAGGAGACACCAAGGAGACAGTACACTGTTGTCTCCTTTTGTCTCCTTTTGTCTCTTTTTGTCTCTTTTTGTCTCCTTTTGTCTCTTTTTGTCTCCTTTATTTCTTTTTTTGTCTCCTTTTATATACAAAAAAGGAAAAGTGTCTCCTTTTGTCTCTTAACAAAACCCTCTTATTTTTCTAAACCCTAAACCCTAATTCTTCCTTCTCCCTTAAACCCTAAACCCCAGTAACCGCATGCGTTCTAAACCCTAAACCCTAAACCCTAATCTGCACTACGGCATTAATACTGCTAAAGGAGACACTTTGTTTCCTTTTGTCTCCTTATTTGTCTCCTTTTATTTATTTATTTATTTTTCTTCTTTTTTTTCTCTCTTTAAGAAAACCATTATGCGGTTATATCTAAAGAGGTACAAAACAACATTAAGGGGGGCCCCCCAATACATATTTAGGGGGCCCCCCCTAAGCCCTAAAAGGGGCCCCCTACAAGCATTTAGGGGGCCCCCCTACCCACTAAAGGGGGCCCCCTATACACAGTTGGGGGCCCCAAAACATATATCATATTTAGGGGCCCCCAACATATTATGGGGGGCCCCACAACACAGTAAGGGCCCCCTAAGGTCTACAGGTATGCAGGGGGCCCCTGGGGCCCCTAAATCGTATAGAGAGAGTACTGAAGGGGCCCCTACGACGTCAAAAGAGAGGGTACAAAGGGGGCCCCCAAGGGGCCCCAACAGGCCTAAGAAGATTTAATTGTCGCCAAGAAAAGAAGAAAAAGAAAAACAGAAAAAACACAAAAAGGCATACCTTATTATTCAACCTAGGAGAATACACTGCAGCAACAGCAACAGCAGCAGCAGCAGCAGCTGCAGCTGCTGCTGCTGCTGCACCTTTTGCTGCAGCTGTTGCTGCTGCAGTGCTGGGGTTACGATAAAACAAGCTGGAGCATCTGTTGATGCTGCGCTCACTACAGCGCTTGTTGCTGCTGCTGCTGCTGCTCCTGCAGCTGCTTTTGCTGCTGCTGCTGCTGTTGTCAAGGATGCCTTGCTGCTGCTGCGGCCAGCAGCAGCAGCAAAGAAGAACTAAAAAAAAAAAGGAAGACTGCTGCTGCTGTTTATAAGCGATGAAGTGCTGATCCTTTCTCTCTTCTTCTTTGTCTGATCCTTGGTGTCTTCCCTACAAGATACCCAGCAGCAGCAGCAGCAGCAGCAGCAATAAGTGGTGCAGCAGGAAGAGGGGAAGGAGCATGAGCTACTACACCCATCTATTATCCCTATAACCCAAAGAGAGTTCCGTAGGCATTTATTAGGGTTTAGGGTTTAGGGTTTAGGGTTAGGGTTTGTACCTCGGGGCCGCAGCAGCATGGAGATGCAGCAGCAAAATTTATTGAATTGATTTGCGGTGTACATCCAATATAATGCCAATTTACCCTCAGGGTTGCTCTTAATGCTGCACCAGCAGCAGCAGCAACAGCAACAGCAGCAGCAACACCAGCAACCACAGCAATAGCACCCCGACAGCAACAGCAACAACAGCAACAGCAGCAACAACAGCACAAACAGCAACAAGAGAAGAAACAGGTACCAAAAGAACAGCAGCAGAGGCACCAACTGCAGAGGTAACAGCAGCAGCAGCAGCAGCAGCTGCTGCTGCTGCTGCAACTGCAGCAACAGCAGCAGCGTAGGGTCGTTGCTTACTGTGCTAATATACAGAAGCGAGCAGCAATCGTCAGCAGCAGCAAATGCAGCAGCAGCAAACTAGATAATACTAACTAATAACACACACAAATATATATACAAACAGCAAAACATTAACAGCAGCAGCAACAGCAGCAAGTGCAGCAGCAACAGCAGCAGCAGTAGCAGGATCAACAGAATCAGCATTAGAAGCAACTGCAGCAGCGTCAGCAGCAGCATCAGCAGCATGATCAACAGCAACTGCAGCACCATCAGCAGTAACAGCACCAGCAGCAGCAGCAACAGCAACAGCAGCAACAACAGCAGCAGCAGCAACAGCAGCAGCAGCAAGAGACTAACTGGATCTTCGCCTAATGCTTCGTGATGAAGTAAGGGATCATTAATATCCAAGGAGACACCTCCTGCTGCTGCTGCTGCTGCTGCTGCTTTTAATCGCCCTTGCTGCTGCCGTCTCGGCACAAGCAGCTGCTGCTGCTGCTGTTGCTGCTGCTGTTGCTGCTGCTGCTGCTGGTACCACTCCGTTGCAGCAGCAGAGGCATCAAGACAAAGCGGATGTGTCTCCGGTGTCTCCGCATACAGCTAAAGGCAAACACAAAGCAGACAATACACAATAAGAAGGAGACACCAGAGAGGAGACAGCAGCAGCAGCAGCAGCAGCTGCTGCTGCTGCTGCTGCTGCAGTAGTAAACAGCAGCAACCCAGAGACAGGAGCAACAAGAAGACAGCTTACAGCAAGCAGCAGCAGCAGCAGCAGCAGCAAAGAGTGCCACAGGACAGTTAAAAGCAGCAAAAAAAAGACAGCAGCAGCACAAGAACCACAACAACCACCAGCAACAGCAGCAACAGCAGCCGCAGCAGCAGCAGGAGCAGGAGTAGGAGTAGGACCAGCAGGAGGAGGAGTCCTTACCGTAAGATTAGTCCATGCATAAGAAGATAAGTTGTATTTATTTTCTTTTTTTTCTTTTGTTGAACCACAATGGCATATCCAATCATTTAATGCAAATGTATACAATACTTCCTACATATACATATACATATATATATACGTATACGTATACGTATACGTATACGTATACGTATATATGTATTTGTATACGTATACGTATACGTATATATGCATTTGTATACGTATACATATACATGTACATATATATACGTATACGTATACGTACATATACATATACATATATATGTGTACATATACGTATACATATACATATACATATACATACATATACATATATACATATACATATGCATACACATATGCATATGCATATGCTCTTGCATGCACCAGACAGACAGCAGCAGGAGCAGGAGGATTAGCTGCACGAGCAGCAGCAGCAGCAGCAAGGCTATACACACACATATATATACAACAAAACAACGTCTGCATGCATGCATTTGCATGCACGCAGAGAGCAGCAGGAACAACAGCAGCAGACTGCAGCAGCAGCAGCAGCAGCAGGGCTGTTACCTGTGGTACTAGCTGAAGTAGACAGACAGCAACAGCAGCACCTTCTGGTGGCTGCTGCTGCAGTTGCTGCTGCTGCTGCTGTTGCTGCTGCTGCAGCTGCTGCTCAGGAGACAATCGGGTAGCAAATTGGTAACGAAAGGAACTAACAAACCCGCTAGGCTTTTCTCTCCCCTCTAAGAAAGGAACACGCAGCAACGCCTGCAGCAGCAGCAGCAACAGCAGCAGCAGAGGGAGAGGAATGAGTTGGTGTTAGTACGGTGGTGGGGTTGAGCAGCCGCAGCAACAAATGGCAGGAGCAAGCAGCAGCAACAGCAGCAAACAGCAGCAACAGCAGCAGCAGCAGCAGCAGCAGCAGCAGCAGCAGCAGCAAGCAGCAGCAGCAGCATACAAGGGGTAGTGAGGTTTGTGATCCAAAGGGCATAGGCTTAGATGGGTGTCTCCTTTGTCCCCCCTCAGACAGCAGCAGCAGCAAATTATCTTCTCCTGCTGCTGCTGCTGCTGCTGTCTCCTCTGTTGTTGCTGTCTCCTCTGCTGTTACCATTAATCCCTTTGCTGCTGCATCTACAATCGTACGTGCTGCTGCTGTTGCTGCTGCTGTTGCTGCTGCTGTTGCTGCTGGTGTCTCCTCTGGCTTCCCTGAATTGCCAACGGGAGAAGCTGCACCCTTTCTTCCTGCGTCTGCTGCTGCTGTTGCTGCTGCTGCTGCTGCTGCTGTTTTCTCTCCAATACGGCCTCCCTCAAAGGCAGCAAGAGCTTCTTGTGCCTGCTGCAGTGCAGCAGCAGCACGGATATTTTCATCATCCAATTGCTGCTGCTGCTGCTGCTGCTGCTCTTGCTGCTCTTTCCCTTGCTCTTGCTCTTGCTCTTGCTCTTGCCCTTGCTGCTGCTGCAGGGATCTGCTGCTGCTGCTGTTATTAATAAGATTGTGTCCCTTTTGTAGTCTCCTATAAGTACCACCAAAGTCATACTTAATTCTGCTGCCAGCAAATCGTGGATTCGTGCTGCACTGCAGCAGCGGCAGTGCTGCATCTGCTGCTGCAGCAAGGAGACCCTGTGTCTTACTAGGCAGCAAGGAGACAGGCAGCAAAGAACCAGATACTGCTAATAGCTGTAGACTACTTGCAGGGCCAGTCAACCCGCTGCAGCAGCAAACAACACACACACAGCAGCAGCAGCAGCAGATGAAGCAGCAGCAGCAGCAGCAGATATAGCAGATATTGCAGCAACAAAGGGTTGAGCAGACACAGCAGCGCGACTAGCAGCAACAGCAACAGCACCAGCAGCAGCAGCAGCAGCAGCAGCAATAAGAAGTATTGACCCTCACTTGTTGCTTATCTCCAGTGTACGCATCTCCCACATCTGCAGCAGCAGCAACAGCAACAGCAACAACAGCAACAGCAATAACAGCAGCAGCAGCAACAGCAGCAGCAGGTTCATGACGGATCTAAGAAGAGTTTGATGGCTAAGACATCGAACAGCAGCAGCAACAACAGCAGCAGCAACAGCAACAGCAACAATAGCAGCAGCAACAATATATATACCTCTGGATCTTCTACAATATCAGGTTCCTTATGTTGTTGCTGCTGTTGCTGTTGCTGCTGATGCTGCTGCTGTTGCTGCTGCTGTTGTTGTTCTTTGTGCTGTGTCCCTGACTGTTGTTGTATATCCTGTTCCTGTTCGTGCTTCTTCTGTTGTTGCTGCTGCAGTCCTTGCTTTTGCTGCATTATTACCTGGTGCTGTTTCTGCTGCTGCATTACTACCTGCTGCTGCTGCTGCTGCTGCTGCTGCAGGTGCTGCTGCTGCAGGTGCTGCTGCTGCAGGTGCTGCAGGAACTGTCTGTTATATTGTACATGCATAAACATATTATGTATAATAATATTATCATGTATTTTATGCTTAATTCTGCATGCATATTCATCTCCTCCCTTATCTGCTACTGCTTGTAGCTGAGGATAATAACTATTTGTTGCTGTTGTTCCTTCTCCTCCTCCAATTACTGTACTACCTGCTGCTGCTGCTGAACTACCTGCTGCTGCTGCTGCAGTACCTGCTGCTGCTGCAGCAGTAAGCTGCTGCAGTGCAGCAGGTTGC